GAAACAATATACATGTAAATAGATTTAGGTTGTGCATATGATATTGTAATTTAAAGGTATAATTTTAATTTTGCTAGTTGCTTATGTCACAACTCTTGCCATTGCATTCAGTGATATATGGGAATTTGGATTTTTGAGTGACATTAGTATAAAAAACATTACTAAGGATTCTGTTTGGTGCAATATGGGAGGAGGTCAATGGAGGGTGGGGTGCCACCATAAGTTACCACAATGGGTGATGCCAGCCCTAGTGATGCCACTTCTTTAGCTGAGCAGCTAAATCCAGTTGAAAGTTTCATCTGCCGTTGACCCATGACTCAGGCTTTGCCACACTGCAGAATTAATTGTGCCACTAGAATTAATTGTGCCAGAATTAGTTGTGCCACTAGAGCTCTCTGACAGAGAAGGCTAAATATCCCAGAAAAACTACAAATTCCAGAATTTCATAGCACTGAACCATGGCAGTTGAAGTGGTGTCAAATACAGCATGAATTCTGCAGTGTAGATGCAGCCTCCATGCAAACTTGATCAGTCAACATTTACGTGCATTTTACTGAGTTGATGCGTCCACACAAGCTGAGACTAAAAATCGGATTTGGTCCCAATAATGGAATCCTATGTATGTCCACTCAGAAATAACTCCCAATATTGCGGCCAGTGCCTGCAGCCAGAACGTGCTCTATAAGGATAAAAAAATACATCAACCCGTAGCAGCACCTATGGCAGAAGTAGGCAAAGTACAACTTGCAGGCGGCCCAGCAGGGTGGGAGGAGAGGAGGAAAAAGAGGCAGGAGACCCAAAGGGGTCTCCAAATATTCCCAAATATTCCCTCTGGAAGGCACGGGGCAATTTTCGTCACTTTGGAGCTCTCTGGTACCATTTTAGATCCAAGAGAGACCTTTTTTTAAAATGAAGTGACTAGGAAGTGACTTATGCTCACTTCTGTTGTTAACAAAAAAAGTCTCTCCCAGGCCTAAAATGGTCCAAGGGAGGGCTAAACACATAACAAAAATATTTCCCATGCCTCCAGGAGGTATTTGCTAGCAAAAAAAAAAATGATTTCTTTAATGGGGGTATAACCTTGCAAGATCTCCTGGGCTATTAAAGTGGCTCCCTGGCCTCTAAGTATGGCCCACATCAAACCTAAACAATCCTTTAGACTTGCTCTCCTCTTTTTTTCAGGTCAAGGTGTGGGAGGATATTAAAATAAAATGGGCTTGGATATGAAAAAGTAATTATGACGATGATGATGTGGTATGGAAAAAGTAGTTATTATTTTACAATGAGCATTTCTACATTTGTAGCAATATTATTCAGATAATAGTGTCTGGAAATTCCAATAAGTAACATTTTTCTTTTCATTTTAGGGTTTTGAATGGACTAGATTTTACAGAACAATGTCTCTTTAAATCTGCCCAGCAAAATATTCCTTTTGGTTCACAGGATGCCAAAAATGACTTGATGATTTATTTATGTGCAGCTTGGCAGGCCATAGTCCAGATTGTGCGTGAAGCTGAATTTTATGAGCTTTCCCCCCAAGTGAGTATACTGACAATTTTAAAAAGAATATATATATATATATATATATATATATATATATATATATATATACCTTTATACAGTTTGGCATAAATTTCACATAAATATCACCAGAAATAGCTATGACTAAGAGCAGAAAGTCTTGTAAAATGATACAAAAATATTAATCTATTAGTCTAATTCTGTATTTAGGAGGTGAGGATTTTCCCATTGGAAATGGTAAACTTCCTTTTAAAAAATAATAATATTTTGATTAGCCTGATCTGGGTGTTTCTAACTTGACATTTCCTGAAGCAAAATGTATCCCCCCACTTGAAGATGAATGTCTTGTTGTCATTCCAGAGAAAACAAAAAGCAACATGCTGGTGCAGTGATGTAAGGAAACAATTTTCTGCCCAGTCTTTATATTATTTGAATATATTTTTTTGTGTGTGATGAAACAAAACATGAGAAAAAGAAGCCTACATGATGGACTGCACTGCCACTGAGAACAATCCAACATTTTGTGGCAATACAAGCTGGAGTGGAGGGATGAGGCTTTCTCTGAGAGAGACTGAAGATGTAGAATAAAATGCCACCATAATAGTGGTGCTATTCAATCAGTTCCCACCAATTTCTCAGAACTTGTGGCTAAAATTGTTAAGAGACACATAAAGGTTAAAAAGAGTGCCAGGAGTAGCAAAAGGGAAGAGGCTTGAATGGAGAAGGAGGATGGAAAGGCAAGAGCAGGGGCATGCAACCTTTCTGAGACCTGGGCTGGTCTCCCGTAGCCCAGATCTCATCTGGGCCAAGGGGGGGGGAATGGCGGCGCATGAGCAAACACGTCACGACCGCCATTTTGATTTACAAAATGGCGACCGCAGCGAGCGCAGCTGCAGAGCAGCAAAAACGCACGGCGGTGGCAGCCAGTGGCAGCGGCAACCTTTGGTCTGGGCCGGTAAGTCCGGGGACTGGGGCCTTAACTGGCCCCCGGGTCATAGGTTGCCGGTCCCTGGGCAAGAGGGTCAGAGGGAGGGAATAACTGCATCCTCCAGAGCCATGAGGAAAACTGGGGATGGAAACCACTTGTTAATTGTTTTGAATAGCACCAGGAGTGGTGGCACTTGGGTTGGCGTCACTTGGTGCCATAACTCAGGGTGTCACCCCCCCCTACACACATACACACACACACACACACACACACATTGGCCTTCTCCCATACCACACCATACAGAATTTTTTGTACTAAAGTTACTCATAAATCGTAATTCTTGTATATCACTGAATGTAATGGCAATAGTGGTGATATAAACAAGTAGCAAAATTATGCCTTTATATTACAATATCATACGCACAGCCTAAATACATTTACAGGTAAAGTGTTTCCCCGAAAATAAAACATACCCATAAAATAAGCCATAGCAGGATTTGTAGGGATTTGTGCAGTATAAGCCATACCCCAAAAATAAGACATAGGGCTGATGCAGACGGGGCAGCTTTTCTGGGCCACCCCTGGGAGCAGCGGATCAGGGCTCAAAGGGCCGCAGCCCCAATCCTCCTCTTTACTGCTCCCAAAAGAGCAGCTCAAAGGACCACTCCTTTTTGGGGCGGCAAAGAGCTGGCCTTTGAGCCGCAGCCACAGTTCTTTTCTGGGCTGCCCCTGGGAGCAGTGGATCCACTGGTCCCAGGAGCAGCCCAGAAAAGAGCCGCCACCACAGGTCAAAGGTAGTGGCCACAATTCTGCTTTTTGCTGCCCCTGAAAGAGCGGCTCAAAGGGCCACTACTTTTGGGGACAGCAAAAAGCTGGCCTTTGAGCTGCTACCGTGGCTCTTTTGCACCCTTTTGGTGCAGCGTGTATGCATGCTGTGCCAAGAGGGTGCCCTGATGCTGTGTGCCCTGTGGATGGGCGCACGGCGTCAGGGCAGAGTCAGGACAAATAAGACATCCCCTGAAAATAAGCATTCCTGTGTCTTCCTGAGGATAAATAAATATAATACAGTCTTATTTTCGGGGAAACACGGTACATAGTTTCATGTGGTCCAAGTGAAAATTTGGTAAGGTATGAGGCTTTAAAAGGAAAAAAAATTAAATTTTTATTTAAAAAAAATAACACTGGAATTTCTCCTTTCTTCTCCCACTGATCCTTGACCCACTCACACCATCTATTCAGCATTTTAAAGAGATGCAGGCAAACACCTGAGCCAAAAGGCAGATGTTTGGGGAGCAGCGGTGTCACCCCACTTAGGTTGTTATCTGGTGCGCTCTGGACATCAGTGACATAAGTAAAGACATAAAATTAAACATACCTCAATTCATTCTGTACTTGGCTAGTTACTCTAGAGGCCACTGTGAGTGTTGGTTCATAGGACCTTATCACATGGGGTCTGAAGCAGAGCTAATCCAAAGG